ATAAATTTTTGTTTTGTTTTGTTTTTTTCGAGACAGGGTTTCTCTGTAGCTTTGGAGCCTGTCCTGGACTAGCTCTGTAGACCAGGCTGGTCTCGAACTCACAGAGATCCACCTGCCTCTGCCTCCCGAGTGCTGGGATTATAGGCGTATGCCACCACTGCCCGGCAAATTAATAAATCTTAAAAAAAAAAAAAAAAAAGCCCAGCGGTGGTGCACACACCTTTGATCCCAGCACTTGGGAGGCAGAGCCAGGCGGAGCTCTGTGAGTTCGAGGCCAGCCTGGTCTACAGAGCGAAATCCAGGAAAGGTGCAAAGCTACACAGAGAAACCCTGTCTCGGAAAAAAAAAAAAAAAAAAAAAAAACAAAAAACACCAAGATTCTGCTCCATAAAGGCATGGATTTTCGTATGTTTATTTACTGATGTGTCATGAAAAATACAGACTAGAGTAGGGGTGACACCCAACTGAGTGCTCAGTACTGGCAGTGAGGTCACGTGACATGCTGGAGCATTCCAGTCACGGAGGTGTGTTCAGGGTCACAACTGGTTTTCTTTTAGTTTTGTTAGTGTAAGTTAGTCTCTGTTTTTGCAAAGTGAATTGTAACCCTTTTATTTTTCTTTCTTTGTTCTTTTCTCTTACAATATATCCTGACTCCAGTGTCCTGTCCCTCCACTTCCCACAAGTCCCCCTGCCCACTCATGCCTCTGCCTACCCCCGACCACCTGCTCCTCCCTTTCCCTTCAGAAAGGAGCTGGCCTCCCATGGATATCAACAAACAGGCAAAACAAGATTCGAACCCTCATATTAAAGTTGGACAAGGGGGCTGGAGAGATGGCTCAGAGGTTAAGAGCACTGGCTGCTCTTCCAGAGAGCCCAGCAATTGCATGGTGGCTCACAACCATCTATAATAACATCTGGTGCCGTCCTCTGGCATGCAGGCGCTCATGCAGTCAGAACACTGTATATATGTAATAAAGGCTAGATGAGGCAACCCCGTAGGACAAAAAGTATCCCAAGAGCAGACAAAAGAGTTAAAGACACCTCCACTCCCAGTGTAGGAGTCCCACAATAACCCCAAGCTAAAGAGCCATATATGCAGAGGACCTGCAGACCCATACAGGCTCCATGATCCAGTTGAGTCTCTGTGAACCCCATGAATCCTGATTAGTTGATTCTGTGGGCCATGTTCTCCTGGTGTTCTTGACCCCCTCTTGACTCCTACAATCCTTCCTCCCCCTGTCCTGCAGGATTCCCAGAGCTCACCACTCATGTTTGGCTGTGGGTCTCTACATCTGCTCCCATCAGCTGCCAGGGGAAACCTCTCTGATATTTGAGCTGGGTATCATTAAAAATCATTTCATTGATTTTTGTTTTGTTTTTTTGCCAGTCCTGTTTCTACCTGAGATCCGCTGGACTATCCAACTTCCAATTCCTGGCCATCCAGGAAGTGTCTTGAGCATTGGCCTCAAGTTAGACCAGTCACTGAGTGGCTACTCCCACAAGTTCTGAGTCACCATTTCCCCAGCATATCTTGCAGGTAAGACAAGTTATAAGGTCAGAGTTTTTGTGGTTGGGTTGGTGTCCTGTCCCACCACTGGAAGCCTTCCCTGGTTATAGAAGATATCTGGTTCAGGCTCCATATCCCCAGTTACTAGGGGTCCTCACTAGGGTCACCCTCATAGATTTCAAGGAGTTTCCTCTGCACCAAGTTTCCACATTGCCCCCAAGATTCCCCCCAATTCCAGACATCTCTCCCAGTACTCTCTCTCTCCAACCCTCCTTCCCTCATCTGATCCCTCCTGTTCCCATCCCCACCTGCAAAATCTATTCTCTTTCCCCTTCCCAGGGAGATCCAGTCATCCAGCCCTCACTTGAGCCTTCCTTGTTACTTATCCTGTCTCGGTCTGTGGATTGTAACATGATTATTGTCTGCTTTACAGCTATTATTTATAAATGCATACATACCATGTCTGGCTTTCTGGGTCTGTGTTAACCTCTCACTCAGGATGAAGTTTTTCTAGTTTCATCCATTTGACTGAAAAGTTCATGATGGGTTTTTTTTGTTGGTGGGTTGTTTTGTGTGTGTGTGTGTGTGTGTATGTGTGTGTGTGTGTGCATGTGTATGTGTGTGTGTGTGTTTCATTTGGTTTTTGTTTTGTTTCTTTCAAGACAGGGTTAGCTCTGGCTGTCATGGAACTCGATTTCTATACCAGCTGGCCTTGAACTCACGGAGATTAAGGTCCCTGCCTCTTCCTCCCAAGTGTTGGGATTAAAGGCAATGTCATTTTTTTTTAACAGCTGAGTTGTGTAAATGTACCACATTTTCTTTACCCATTCTTAGGTTGAGGGGCATCTAGTCTGTTTCTAGTTTCTGACTGTTATGAATTAAGCTGCTATGAACATAGTTGAGCAAGTATCCTTGTGGTAGGATGCTTTTGGGTATATGCTGGGTCTTGAGGTAGATGGATTTGCAATTTTCTGAAAAGCCACCATATTGATTTCCGAAGTGGCTGTACAAGTTTGCACTCCCACCAGCAGTGGAGGAGTGTCCCCTTGCTCCACAACTTCTCCAATATAGGCTGTCATTTGTGCTACTGATCTTAGCATTCTGACAGGTGTAAGAAGGTATCTATCTCAGAGTCATTTTGATTTGCATTTCCCAGATGGGTTAAGATTATTGTTTTAATGTATTTCTCAGCCATTTGAGATTCCCCTGTTTCTTTTTTTTTTAAGATTTATTAATTTATTATATATACAGTATTCTGCCTGCATGTATCTCTGCATGCCAGAAGAGGGCGCCAGATCTCATTACAGATGGTTGTGAGCCACCATGTGGTTGCTGGGAATTGAACTCAGGACCTCTGGAAGAGCAGTCAGTGCTCTTAACTACTGAACCATCTCTCCAGCCCGAGATTCCCCTATTTCAAATTCTCTGTTTATATCTGTACCCCATTTTTAAATTTTGATTGGTTTATTGATGTCTAGTTTCTTGAGTTCTTTGTATATTTTAGATATTAGCCCTCTGTAAGATGAGGTGAAAATCTTTTCCCGTTCTGTAGGTTACCATTTTGTCCCATTGATGTTGTGCTTTGCCTTACAGGAGCTTTTCAGTTTCGTGAGGTCCCCTTTATTATGTCGATCTTCTTGCCTGCCACTATCAGTGATCTGTTCAGAAGTGGTCTCCTGTGCCAGTGCATTCAAGGCTATTCCCCACTTTCTCTTCTACCAGGTTCAGTGTATCTGGTTTTATGTTGAGGTCTTTGTTCCACTTGGACTTGAATTTTGGGCATAGTGGTAAATACTGATCTATTTGCATTTTTCTACATGCAAACATCAAGTTAGACCAGCATCATTTGTTGAAGATACTTTCTTTTTTCAATTGTATATTTCTGGCTTTTTTTTTTTTTTTAATCAAAAATCAAGTGTTCATAGGTGCACGGATTTACCTCTCTGGGTCTTTGATTCTATTCCACTGATCCACCTCTCTATTTTTATGCCAATACCATATGACTTTTATTACTATAGCTCTGTAGTACAGATGGAAATCAGGGATGGTGATACCTCCAGAAGTTTGTTTGTTCATTCATTATTATTTTAGCTATCTTTGGTTTCCTGTTTTTCCATATGAAATTGAGTGTTGTCCTTTCAGTTTCTGTGAAGAATTCTATTGGGATTTGAATGGAAATTGCATTGATTCTGTAGATTACCTTTAGTAGGATGGCCATTTTTACTATGTTAATCCTACCAGTCCATGAGCATAAGAGACTTTTCCATCTTCTGATATCATCTTCAATTTCTTTCTTCAAAGACTTGAAGTGTTTGTCATACAAGTGTTTCACTTGCTTGCTTAGGGTTACCTCAAGTTATTTTGTATTGTTTGTGGCTATTATGAAGGGTTTTGTTTCCCTGATTTCTTTCAGTCTGCTTGTCATTTGTGTTTTGGAGGGCTACTGAATTTTTTCTTTTAATTTTAATTAATCTTGTATCCCGCCACTTTGCTGAAGGTTTTTATCAGCTGTAGGTAGAATATTTGGAGTAACTTATGTATACTGTCATCATCTGTAAATAAGGATACTTTGACTTCTTCCTTTCCAATTCATATCTAATTGATCTCCTTCAGCTGTCTTACTGCTCTAGCTAAAACTTCAAGCATTAGTGCTGTGGGATGTTCTGTGTGGCAAATGTGTTGCTCTGATTGGTTGGTAAGTAAAACACTGATTGGCCAGTAGTCAGGCAGGAGGAATTGTGGGCGGGACAAGGAGGAGAATAAAGCTGGGAAGTGGAAGGCTGAGTCAGAGACACTGCCAGCCGCCATGATGACAAACAGCATGTGAAGATGCCGGTAAACCACGAGCCACATGGCAAGGTATAGATTTATAGAAATGGATTAATTTAAGCTTTAAGAACAGTTAGCAAGAAGCTTGCCACGGCCATACAGTTTATAACCAATATAAGTCTCTGTGTTTACTTGGTTGGGTCTGAGCAGCTGTGGGACTGGCAGGTGAGAGAGATTTGTCCTGACTGTGGGCCAGGCAGGAAAACTCTAGCTACACATTATATTGAATAGATATAGAGGGAGTGGACAGCCTTGTCTTGTTCCTGATTTTAGTGGAACTGTTTTGAGTTTCTCCCCATTTAATTTGATGTTGGCTATAAGCTTGATGTAAGTTGCCTTTTAAGTTATACATAATTATATATATATATATATATATTAGAGAGAGAGAGAGAGTGCATGTGCTTGAATGTGTGGCTCACTCGTGTAGGTCATCTATGGGAGTTGGTCCTTTTCTACTGTGACTCCCAGGATTAAACTATTGTGAGTGGCCAGCAACTTCCTTCTGAGCCATCCCACTGCCTATATACACCATTTACTGAAGTCATTTTCTTACAGTAGCTCTAGTATTGGAATATATTTTAACTTTAGGTTATTATTATCTAAGGCAGGTGTTTGCTGGGGGTGATTAACATTCTTCACTCAAGAAGGAAGCAGTCCAGACAACATGAAAGAGCAAATGAAGAAAATGGCAAAGACAAGTGGCCAGAAAGGCCAGGGCGAAGGAGCCCTCAGTAGAGCGAACGCAGAACAAGAGGAGGCGAGGCAAGACCAGAAGACCAGAGGGGAACCTCTCCACGTAACATACCCCATCCACGATGAAGATGTGTACAGTGAGACAAGCCCCCAGACTGACGACGAAGACTTCCCCGACGGTTACATAGAGTGCATCATTAGAGGTGAGTTTTCTGAACCTATTTTGGAGGAGGATTTACTTTTTAAAGCCTTCGAAAACCTAGAGGAAGCCGAACAAGACCTTTCTCGCCATATCCTCGAAGCGAGTTCCCTGCTTGAAAGTTCTTTGGAATACGTGAAAAAACAGGAAGAAAGCGAGGCCAAGCAAGAGCAGCCTCAACAGACGGTTGGAGCCAACTCAGCACTCGGATGTTCCACGTACACGACTAACCCGGAGCTTCCTGCTGAAAAAATATCGGAAGCGGATTTATCAGATCATAAGCAGCTTGCGGGGTTTCCTGGAGAGGAGCCGAAGGGTGGTGAACACTGTGGTCCCTTATCGATGCTGGAGTGCCCTCAGACTGGTTGCAAGAAAAAGCTGAAGGATAAAACTGCCCTGAGGAAGCACCTGCTTATTCACGGTCCCCGACAGCACGCGTGTGCCGAGTGCGGGAAAGCTTTTACGGAGGGCTCGAAACTGAAGCGACACCTTCTGGTGCATAGTGGAGAGAAGCCGTTTCAGTGCCCCTTCCAAGGGTGTGGGAAGCGCTTCTCGCTGGACTTCAACTTGCGCACCCATATCCGCATCCACACTGGTGAGAAGCCCTTTGTGTGCCCCTTCGACGGCTGCCAGAAGAGCTTTATTCAGTCAAATAACCTGAAACTTCACATCCTCACCCATGCAAAGGCAGGGAAGAAGTGCTGAGACCGAGACAGAGTCTCCGTAGGCTGGGTGGTCTTAACGGATGAGTCAATGGGGGTATATGTCCACTTTGGATTGTTGTTTGTAGGGAGTGATGATGGCTAAGATAAATTTGCACCTTAGAAAGCATACTTTAGTTTTCATGCTTCGTTATACCATTTGAAGAACATTTTTATATTCCACGGTGTAGTTCCAACAGAAAAGTCAATGATGAAGTCATTTCAAAAGCATAATCTTTAATATATGTGCTGCATTATTGAATGTGATGAGTGTTTTTTGCATACTTCATAGGAAATCACTGATTTTTTTTTAATTATGCAATTTCTAATTGCCTAGCATTTTCCTTTAAAAATGTACTTCATGATAGATGTGATAATCTCAAGGAGTGGAAAACTTGGCAGTGTTGAACAAATGAATGAATACTTACATGTTTTTAAATTAAATATTTTTTTGATTTTCATTTTCTTCATTGTATCAAACTATTAATGAATGATAGTTAAATGTGAGTGCTTATATAATAAAAGTTGATCCATCTGAAAATTTTAGATGTTCCAAAATAAAAGGACATAGAACTCTAGAAATGTGCTAGATTTCTGAAAAATAAGCCAAAATTGCCTTAAAAGGATAACAGCAGGTCATGATGGTAAACCTGGCAGTTAGGAGGCAGAGGCAGGCAGATCTGTGAGTTCGAGGCCAGCCTGGTCAACCTCGAGCTTGAGAGGCCCGCCAAAACTATAGAGGCGCCATGTCTCAGGAGAGGAAGAAAGAGGGAGCATTTAATTGTTTTTTTAAAATACCGCAAAAGGGTGGGGTGTGGTGGTACACAACTTTGATCCCAGCACTCAAGAGGATATAGGCAGGTAGATTCCACTGAGTTTGAGGCCAGCCCAGTTCACACAGCAAGTATCAACTCTGCCACGGCTACACACAATTAGACATTGTTTCCAAAAACAGAGTCGCTAACCATTCAGTATTGATATACCTGTCTGTTACAATAGAAATAGTCTATTTTGAGATGTTTTGTTAGAGTGCTCTTTTAAATGTCTGAGGGCAGCCACCACAGTCACAAAAATGGAGTGGCTCAAGGTACCAGAAAAGTGTTATCTGCTACTTAAGGAGGCTACAGGTCAGAAATCAAAGGGTCATGCCAGGATTTTGTTTCCCTGCTGTGCCAAGTCTTATATTTCCTTCCTGTTGTTTTCTGTTCAGATCCCTTTTATCCAGACACCAGTCATATTGGGTAATATTCGACCTGAAATCTTAATTATCTATAAAAAGACCTTCAGATAAGATCATATTCTGGTTCTACGATACTGGAAGCTGAAAGTTTTAATTATGAATTCTGAGGAGGATACAAACCCATAAATGTGTGGTGCTCTTGACCCAAAATCATTTTTATTTCTAGAGTACTTTAGAAATGCTTGCAGTCATGTTTGGAGGTATTTCCTCAAGGACGGTTAAGTGAATTCTATTTAATTGTAGTAAATTCATAATGTAGATGTCCACTCAGTAAAAACAGTGACCTAAATCATGCTAGATCTCCTCAATAGAAAGATATGCAAATGTTTTTAAAGAAAGATACAAAGAGAAATGGGTAAAGGACCATATCTAGAAGGGACCCGTAAATAAGAGGAATTTTGTTGTTTTTAATAGATGGGATAAACTGGTATGCATGCTAGGGAAGCAATTCAAAGTGGTTAAATATGGATAAAGAGGAAAAGGTGGTTGGAATAAAAATCTAACTATTATAAAATTTAACTTATTTGTGTAACTGTGAAGTGAACTATGAAAGACCAGAAAATAAGCAGCCATCGAATTTAGAATGCACGCCCACCCACCAGTCAATGTAGATAATTTGGTAGTTAAAAATGCCACTTTGTTTTGAAGATTTACCATACCCCTGGAAGGTAAAGTACATCTTTTTAGAAGAGAAGAACGAATGAATGAAGATTAATCTTGATTTTTATAAATGCCAAAATTTAAAAGAAATGTCTTTAAAATTCAGGGTTTACGCCGGGCGGTGGGGGCGCACACCTTTAATCCCAGCACTTGGGAGGCAGAGGCAGGCGGATCTCTGTGAGTTTGAGGCCAGCCTGGTCTACAGAGTGAGTTCCAGGAAAGGCGCAAAGCTACACAGAGAAATCCTGTCTAGAAAAAAAAAAAAAATTCAGGGTTTATAGTTTGACTTCGGTGTGAAGTTGTTGCTAATATGAGCTACTACAGAATGTTAGCTATTCATGATATATTTGGTAGGGCAACTCTGCTATCACTTTTATAGGAATGTGGATCCCGAAACTCCAGGTTAATACCAGTAAACTAGGGCACAAAAGCCATTCATAAATTTCAGTTTTCTTCTAAATCAAACACCTGCTTACAGAACTTAAGACGAGTTTAATCAAGGTGATGGATCACGTGTCTATCTGCTGTTTGCTTTGGCCAGCCTTGTGTCTGACTCAATCCTTGATGGATTCTAGTTTCAGAGTGAAGATTAAAGACCAAACAAAAGCTGCAGAGATTAGGGTGCAAGCTCTTAAGTCCCGAGACTCAGCACTCTGGAAGGATCAAGATTGGCTCTCCTTGTAGAGGCTGGTCTGCTCTATTCCTTTCATGAGAAAAAAATCTGCGAAGTTATAAGAGGCTTAGAAATTCCTAATATAGGAACAGGACGTGGCTGGCTACCTTGGAATTTCTTTCCCCCACCCCTGCCCAAAGATGTAGATGGAATGGCAAAGGGGTAGGAACATGAAGACATGGAAAAGAGGTTAGATGTTGAGCGGCATTTGGAACACTTTTTAATTTTTATTTTGTTTTCTAACATGTGGTGTTTTGCCTTCATGTATGTCTGTGTAACGTGTGAGTACAATGTTTTCAGACGCTAGAATGGAGCACTGGATCCCCTGGAACTGGAGTCACAAAAGATTATGTGGGTGCTGGTTATTGAACCCAGGTACTCTAGAAAAGCAGCCCATAGGGCGGGTGGTGGTGGCAGCAGCGCACACATTTAATCCCAGCACTTGGGAGGCAGAGCCAGGCAGATCTCTGTGAGTTCGAGTCCAGCCTGGTCTACAGAGCGAGATCCAGGACAGGCAGCAAAACTGCACAGAGAAACCTTGTCTTGAAAAAGCCAAAAACAAAAAAACAAAACAAAAAAACTCGAAAAGCAGCCAGTGCTCTGAGCCACTGAGTAATCTCTCCAGCCCTTTTGTTAATGTTTTAGAAATGAAGGCACACATATTTCTCACATTTATGTTTTATATAGGAACAAACATCCAAGCAGAACTAAAGGGAATGAGTCCAGAATACCGGCATTTAATCAGATCCAATTCTGGGTGATTGACAAGCATACATGCACAGACATTAGATTGCTAGACTTTCTGAACAACTGAGTTTTATTTGCCAACTCCATTCCTTCTCTGCCTCCCTACTTCTGGTGATGAAGAATATACTATTTCTACGTATTTGATTGTCTTTGTTTTAACATAATATGTATTTTGCTGGTGGTATTTGGCTTTATTCTTTTAATATACTGGCCTCTAAGACTTTCACATTACAAAGGGCTGTTTTCTCTTGTAAGTACAGGTAATATTCTAGCATGTGTTACTTCCACACCTTGCCTATTATAAACAACCTTAATAAACAAAGGGATCTAGATATCACAAGACTGGGATGGCAGAGTTGCATATTAATCCTGCTTAGTTTTTTGGAGCACCCTCCAAGCTATTTTCCACAATGGCTCTGCCACATTCCCCACAGTTTCAAAGTGTTCCCTTTTGTTTGTTTTGTTTTGGTTTTTCAAGACAGGGTTTCTCTGTGTAGCCCTGGCTGTCCTGGAACTCACTCTGTAGACCAGACTGGCCTCAAACCAAGATCTGCTGCCTTCTGCTGGGGTTAAAGTCATGGGCCACAATCACCCTAATTCAAGGGTTCCCTTTTCTGTACATGGCTTCCCATCACCTGTCATGGCTTAACAGCAGTAAAACACCTGTTCTTGTTGAGGGCCCAGATTTGGTCCCAGAACTCACATGGTGGCTCACAACTCCAGTTCCAAGTACCCAATATCCTCTTCTGACCTCCAAGGGCACCAGGCACATAGTGCACCCACACATATGAAGGCCAAAACATGCATAAAATAAATTCATCTAAAAATTTTTAAAAAGCCATCCTCACTGGTGTGGAACTCGCTCACTGTGGTTTTATCCTTTGAGACGGGGTCTCATGTAGTCCTAAGCGGCCTCAAACTCATTAAGCAGGCAAGTGTTTGAAGTGACACACCTGCTCCCGTCTCCCAGATTCAGGGATTACAGGTGTGTGTCACCAAGTCTATTTAGATTGTATTAGAATTTTTAATTTATTTGCATATTCATTTGAGGCTTGCTTGAAAGGCACTGTGTAGTCCAGCCTTGGAATTCTCAGCAATCCTCCCACCTCAGCCCCAGAATTCCCTGATTACAGAGGTAACCTGGCTTTCCTGTCATGTTAATTTGCTTTTCTGTTGTCCATTTTTAGGGGAGGATTATTGGTTTATTTGCTAATAAGCTGTGAGTTCCTGAGTTCCTTGTATATTTTTAACACTTATCAGTGAATTGCAGTATTTTCTACTAGTCCATAGAAGGCATTTTAGTTTTACTGTTTTCTTAGCTGTGTGTAAGCTCTTTAGTTTCATGGAGTTCCACTGGTTTGTTCATTTTTTTTAACATTAATTCCTCTAACGTATAAGCATGGGATATCTTTTCATTTTACATAAGTTTCAGCTTGAGCAATATTTATAATTTTTCAGTGTATGGTTCTTTCCTTGGCTAAATTTCTTCCAAAGATTTTAATGTAACCATAAATAAGGATATTTAGGGGTTTTGTCTCCAGATTATTACCAGTCTACAGAGATGTAATTGATGAACAAGCTGGAAACTATTGAAGCCTATCCTTTCTCTTTAGCCCTAATTAATGCATTGGGTCTGGAGAGATGGCTCAGAGGAAAAAAGCTGGTACTGCCCTGCAGGGGACTC